TTAACTCACGCGACGGGAGACACTACGAACGACTGCATATATATCTGATTCTTGTGCAGCTGATCCCTGGCCCGAGCTCGGCGACGGAGCAGGAGAAGGGTCAACAGGCCCGCGCACAAGGCGACAATAGACAAGGTGGTCAGTAGAATGAGCGGGTTACTCTGGAAACCGGAATGCGTAATGGGTCAGGAGTGAGCAACGATTGCAGTAGTAGTAGTAGTTTCATTTCGCTCACCAGATGGACATCGCTGTTCAGCTTGAGTGGATTGGCGGGCACTGCGTAAAATAAAATCATAAATAATCCAAAGACTCGTAAGAGCAAAAGAACTCTTTAGGCTCACCCGGAAATTTGTTTGTGCTGTATTTACCCTCGCAGCCAGCGGGATCTATCAGCGTGGCCTGCAAATTGAGGGGAGTCTTCTCTTTCAGCTGCGTGCCCAGGTTGAGCATCATGCTGCCATCGAAGCCCCTCGCAGTGGGACGGAAGTGCAATTCACTTAGGTTGTAAATCCGATTGAACAGATTCTTCAGACCACCGCCCCAGGGCAGCGATGGATTGCTCTCCTCATTGATTCTGGAAAATGAGTGCAGCGATTCAAAGAAAAATGGCCCCAGAGAGTCCTTTCTGTTGCGATTCACAACGAGCTGTGATTTCCGCCCTCTGGGGCCATTTTCCTATCTTATATTCATTTTATTTTTAGAGTAAATACCGATTTCTATCATGGGGAATGATTTAATTTGTGATGGGGCAGGGGTGTTGGCTCGAATAATTCTAAGAAATGTAAAGTCAATCATGCATAGTCCTTTTGATCTATGAGGTGAAAAATGTATCTAATACTAATGTGTCTGTGAGGAAGAAGGAAGGTGTAAGGCGTATCGATTGTTAGTAAGGAAATCGGATCTCGCATCTACATGTTCTACCTGCTTCTACCTGTTACTCATTATACCCAAAATTTCAGTTATCAACAATTAGAACTCACTTTAGTTGCATTTTATAGGACTGCAGCGCCTCCTGCAGACGACCCTTCTGCTCCTGGCGCAGCTGCTCGCTGGCCTGTAAGATGAAAGCGATGTTGATACTGTCGTTGGCCTGCATGTTGGCCGTGGCATGCACTTTTGGTAGCAAGGAAGCCGGCGGGCAGTAGCATTTGCCGGCTACACAGTCTGCGAAGGATATCCAGGTGAGTTAATAGCTCATTAAAAGAGAGGAGGAAGCGATTTAACACGTACGTGGTATGTGCACGGGCATGGAGCGACGCACGTGTAGATTTGATGTCTCCACAGTCACATTGTACTCGCAGTCAAACATATACATGCAGTCGGGCGAGTCGACATTCGGGTTGGGACTCTGGGGCAGATAGATGTACTTGCTGGGCTTCTGCTTTATGGAGTATTCGCTGCAAGGCGCCTCCGGGCAGCGAGTGCTGTTGACGGCACTGACCAGCACATTGTATGTGGTGCCTGCAATGCGCAAGGGAAGGTGGGAGGTGGGAGATGGGAGATGGGAGTAAGGCGCCTAAGCAGCAAGCCCATTATTATTCGATGGCCACTCACCATTGGGCAGGTTGTCCTGCCAGTGCACTTGCAGCTGTAGGATCTTCTGCATGTACAGCGTCACATTCACGGACAGCTCCGTGATTTCGTGTTTGCCCGAATTTCGCTGCGTCAAGCAAACAAAATGGAAACCATAATCAAAATGGCGAAAGGAAAGAAAAACTAAATCAAATATTCACAAACAGGTTGTGGCCAAGTCAATAACTTGTTTATTTTTCTGGTAACATTTTCAAATAAAATTGCCAATCACAAAAAATTATTACGTCAATGAAAATTGTAACGACATGAAAGGTTGCTTCAGCTTTTTGTTATTTCTCAAAAAGTTTCTGAGAATTACTTACGATTAGTTTATTTCTGCTTTTGTCTGGGCCCGATTCAAGCTCTGCTCCATTGGAGAATATTTTGTTGCCATTGATGTTGTTGTTGTTCTTGTTGTTGTTGTTGTTGTTGTTGCTGGCTGTTGCTGTATTGAGGGAAATTGTTTGCATAGTTGGGGCTTCCGGCCGAATGACGAACATTCCCAGGCTTGGTTTGGCTGTGGACAGAATTTGAATCGGAGGCGTTGGCAAGTGCTCGCTCCCGTTGCGCTGAGCCAACATTTCAGCCACATTGCTGGGTAGCAACAGCAGCGCAATGTGCGTTATGAGCAGATTATACAATATTACCCGCAGCATTCTTCAAATTTCCACTGCTCATAGTTGGTATGGGGATGGCTCCGAGTGCTGCAACATAATAAGGCGAAGCGAATGGCATAATTTGAATAGAGCAGACGTTTAATACAGATCTATTATTAGCATGGCTCCAATGAAAAGCCATGGGCCATGGCATTAATGAGCAAATGCCAGTAAATAATTGGGAGTAAATCAAGATAATTTGATTGGATCTCAATCATCTCAGTGCTGACAATTTGGATTCATATCGGATTTCGTACTCTTAAAGCTAAGCATTTATATGGTGACTTCGTTTTCAACTATAACCAACCGCATATGTATATCGCATCACCGCACACACACACATACACACACTTAAGCACGTTCTCACTCTACTGACTGCGCACTTGACGCAGCTCATCGACTGCGTGTGGGCTGCGCTTGTCGAAATTATAAAGAGAAATTCGCTACTGAATAATTGCTGAGACTTCGAAATGCATTTTCTCACATCAGTTATTTCCTCTACTCCCCCGGTGCTCTATTGGGGAGTACGCAATGGCCGGTCAGAGTATTTACGTTGCGATGAGAATGGACACCCACAACAGTTGTGAAATATTCATATATCAAAACGTAACACGCTGTTCCATCGATTTTAATCGATAATAGGTAGATAAATAAAATATACAAGTCTTTTGCAACTCGGGTCCTTCAGGAATATTTATTTAAAATTCATTGTCAGCAGGAGAAAATTTGATATGGCTGCTGACGAAATGAAGTGAAAGCGATAGGTTCTATGTAAAATAAACAGCAGAGCAAACAAACAATGAACAACTAATTAGCTACATATCGTAAAAGCCACAAACTGAAATTAAGTATACGCCCTGTATCACGGCATTGAACATTTTGCCATTAGGCAAGCACGCAGCTGGCATGCAGCTGAAAGCCACAAAACGCTTGTTGTTTTATGCATATATATGTATATCTGTATCTATCGTAGGATTGCGTGGGCCAAATAGGCCATTGAAAACTCTAAACAAGGCTGCAAATGAAACCGAAAAGGGAACAGATAAAACAAGTATGATTATGAATTTGAGGAATCAGTTTTCGACAGGTTTAATGCGGGGATGAAACAGCAAATAAGACTTAAGACAATAAATAAGACAATCTAAGCATTGAATTAATAATTGGTCGATTGCTTTAATTATCGATTTAGCGATTATTGTATCAGTTAATTAATCGATTCCCTTCGGGATTGTTGTCATGTCTTTACAGAAAAGACTTTGGTAGGGTATTTTCATGCATGCATTGACTTTTCCGCCCATTTGACAATTGCTAGTGTCAGTGCTCAGACAAATAGGCACAAACAATTACGTGAGCTAGCACTTAGATTGAATTGTTAGTGAGGCGAACCAAGACACGAGTCAGCAGAAAGCAACTGAAAGTAATGCACTTAACAGGTGCATCTGTGTGAGTGTGTGTGTGTGTATGTGTGTGTTTGTTTGATGGTGTGAGTGTGCTTGGTTTCTATAAGACAAACTGAACTGAGGGGGACTTAGGCCGCATAACGCATGATTACTTAAGAAGCGGATTATGTATTTGAGCGATGACAGCCACAGCAACTACACACGAGGATGATGTCATGGCGGCATTCTGGCCAAAAGTCCAATTAAAATATGAGCTTGCTGGAAAGCTCTTTGCTTTGCCTAAAGGCCCTTTATTAGCATATAATTTATGCTGTTCAGCTCTCAGTTCGCCTTGTTGATGCATGACTAAATGCATAATGCCTGTTCATCCGCATATGCATGAAACCCGCCGAAACCACAATGTGCATGTCCTTTGTGAATACCCTTTGTGGACACTCGAGCGACTTGTGACTTGCGTGTTACGTGCAAAGCACTATCTAATAAAGCTCCGTTATATTAAATGTACCTCGGTTATCGGCCTGCGTAACCGTGATGAATCAGCATACGCACTTATGGCACCTTTAAACAATAGTATATATACGCACAAGCATACAAATACGCTTTTGCTTTTCGTATCATTTCGGCTTTGATAGTCATAATTCTTCAAGTCACCGTTGCGATAAGAATGCCGAGTATTTTCTATGCATGTCCATTGAATTTGCATTATGCAATTTCATTCGATAAACGTTTTAAGCGTTTTCGCATTTTCACATTTTCCCATTTTCGCTTTTCTGTTGACATTTCAGGTTTCCCGCAACGCCATTCGCCTGGCTAAACACTAAGTGTTTGTGCTCAATGTGTGTGAGTGTCTATGTGTATGTGTGCGTGTGTGTGTGTGTGTGTGTAGGCTGTCAACGCTTGGCCACTCGCTAAACACGCCAGCCAGGTCGTCTTAGTCGGGCAGAATTAATGCGCGTATTTATATATAATAATGCTAACAAAGCTAATTGTTGACAAGACATTAACAGCTCCGGGGCTGGGTTAGTGGGGCCAATAGCCAGCAGCCAGCAGCCAGCAGCTTGTAGCCTGTAGCCTGTAGCCTGTAGACAGTAGCCAGGTCATAAATTAAGCCATGTCACAACGTTTTTTATTTTATGGCCCGCTTGGTGTTTGTTTGTTTTGGTTTGACGCCCTCCCCTGGCCTCCTCCATTCCTCGTAGGACTCCTCCAGCACCACCGACTGGGCCATAAATGATAACAGTTTTATACAGCGCTAAAAGTGCGATAATTTTCCCCAATGCCAGCGGTAGCAGGGTCTAATTATTATCTAGCAAGAGATAGCATCATTATTGAATTAATGTCCTAATCATTTTCGCAACTAAAGCGTGATTCATTCTATTTTTATGCAGCGAACAGATTGTTATTCTTATCACTTTGTAAATACAGTTTGAATGGATTCCAACAATTACAGATTTACAATTGGTATTTATTGGAATCGGAATTAACATATAGTTACTGAAAAACCAACAACTATATTGCTATTTCAATGAATTGCTTATCGACTTTTGTTGTACTTCATAAAAAGTAAATATTAATCGAAATGATGATTTCTTATCTTACTTCAAACATCATCATCATCATCATAAGACGTTTGATGCTACTAATCGTAAATGGATTTACCCTTGGTCTCCTCCATGAACACAATAACATAGAAGAAGCACAAGACACTGACCGCGGCACAGCCCCACATGGTCGCAGCCAGCCCCCAATACTCCATCATCAGCGGAAAAGCTTTCAGAGAGGCGAACGCGAAGCAGCTGAGACAGCCCAGGCAAGCGCTCGTGCCCACTGCGCGTATTTTCGGGGGAAGTACCTCAACTAGAACCACCATTGTGACCGAGATGATTCCCACATTAGCCAAGAATATATTCAAAGCCATTATTGTAACGGGCAGCCAACTGGATATTGCGCTTAGGTCCGCCTCAGTTTCGTCGCCAAAAAACGCATACAGGCCAAAGGCGCCGGTGCCCAGTGCACTGCCGGCACACGAGACAATTAGAAGTATTTTGCGGCCATGCCGATCCACCAGATAGATGGAGGCAAGAGTGCCCACAATCTGCACTGCCCCAATGATAATCGTATTAGTGTTGGGCTCCAGCTGAGTGTGCACGCGCTCGAAGATGTTTGACATGTAGTTGATGAAGGCGAAGGTGCCAGTGAATATGTTGCCCACCATCAGCACGAGACCCGTCGCAATGGCCTTTAAAGCGCGCTTGTTGCCTGTCCAGAAATCGGAAGAGAGTAAGCAGATGCCGAAATCTCGACTAGAATCGTATCCATCAAAGCTTACAGAAGTCCGACAAGGTCAAGCTCTCGCTGCCGCTCTCCTTGGTCTGCTGCTGCAAGGCATCACACATTTCCTCAAGCTGTTTCTGGTAAGCACGCTCCGACTCCTTGCTAGGCGTCGGACCATCGCAGTTACAATAATATTTTAAAGCGCGCTTCGCTTCCTCCTCTCGACCCCATCGCATTAGCTGCTGCGGGGTTTCCGGGAAGCGTGTGGTCAGCAGGACATAGCAGATGGGCAGAACGACCACAGTACATGGAATCACATGGTAGGGCACGTGGGAGGAGATAATGAAGCCCACCATTATTCCTATGTTGATGGCAAGGCTAAAGAATGAACACAGCCTGCCGCGTATGCTGCAAATGCATAAATGCAAATGATACGTTCACTGAACTCTCCATTGGCCAACGAGCGAATTACTCACCTTTTGTCCGCGATTTCGCCAATGAAGAGGGGCAGCACTATAAACATTCCGCCCCCTGAAAGGCCGGCGCACACTCTGGCAGCGTACAGCCATTCAACGGAGTCCGCGAAATAGAAGAGAATCCAAATGCACTGGGTGCGAGAACATTTCACGTAATTTTACTATTGCTCCGATTTACATGATTTCAGCAAGCTGAACTAACCGTGTGGGGCAGGGCAAGGCCGTAGAGCGCCACCTTGCGACCAAACCGATTCATGACGAATGAAAATAGGAAATTACCCGAAAAACCACCAAAGCTGATCATCGAACCCACCCAGGACGCCTCACTCACATCAATCACAAAGTCCAGAGGTGTCTCCGCAGCTGATTGCAGCTGAGGCAGCATGGGAGATAGCCAGCCCAAGCCGATGCCATGGCAAAACGTAATTATTACAGCTACAAATAATCGAGTGTTTGCTTAGTAATAGTGAACTCCAATTCGCTCTCATCCCAATGCCAAATTCTTCCTCTCTCTCGCTCTTTCTCTCATAAATACTCCGTAAGCCTCAATAAACCTACCACTCAATGTTACCAGCAGTTGGCGACGAAAATCCTTATTGAATATGCCCGACTTAAAGGTTTCGATAAACATTTTGTTAAGTTCGTTGTTCAATTTGGTTCTCGGAACTTGTTTTCACAGCCTTTATTACGGAACTTATTTTATCACAGTCTTTCTGGTCTGGTCACTGGTCTCGACTATCAGCTAAACTGTTTCGATGAGTACTGTGGTATATGCTTCCCATGCTATTCAGATGAAGGGTTCCCAGCAGTAGAACATTAAGATGATGCAAAATTCTCGCTTTGAGATGTGAGCAATAACTAATGAAATCAGAATCAGCCCACCATTTATATCTAGACCGGAGATTTTGATATCTTGAGACGTAACCAAATCTAAATCTTTGTATAAACACAAAGTTACACAGAGAGAGGTTGACTGAGGGACTAAGGGGTCTTAATTCTACTGAGACAATGACATGCAGTTAGCTTATAGCCCCGGGTGGTCGGTGTCCCAAAACTCCTGCTATTCCGTAATCTTTATAGAGATGTATATCATCTGAGTGTGAAGCTCATACGTAATCTGTTTGCCATACGTACGTTTGCCATACGCTCACCGGAACTAAGATCGATCCAATAAAAGTGCTGCTTATCAAGGGCCATGACTTTGCTCGCCAACAAGCGTCTTTACCTATTTACCAGTTACAGTAATGAATGAAATTTCAGCTCAGTCCGCACAAGCCGACGGATATCTGAAACTGCGTACATATACACCGGAAGCTAACATAGATAACTTTCTCATCCAAAAACAGGGTATGAGTATGACAGGCTGATGTAATTTCCCGATTGTTTTTCCATCAAAGAAATGAATACACTTCTCTCAGTGACGGTGTTCATACCCATATTACAAGTACGTTTTATTCTAATTCTATAAAATAACGGGTTGGCATGATGATTCCATAAAATCTTATAACTAATATAGCATAGCGAGAGCTTATTCTTCTGCTCACTCGTAAATGGACTTGTTCTTTGTCTCCTCGAGGAAGACAACCGCATAGAAGAGGCAGAGGATGCTAACTGCAGTGCAGGACCACATGCTGGCGGCCAGTCCAAAATATTCCATCATGAGCGGAAAAGTCTTCACCGATGCGAACGCCAAGATGCTAAGACCGCCAAAGCAGAAGCTCGACGCCACGGATCGTATCTTCTGAGGCAGCACTTCGACCAGAATTACCATTGTGACCGAGATGATTCCCACATTGGCGATGAATATGTTCAAGGCCATTATTGTGACAGGCAGCCAGGCGGAGTAGGCGCTCAGATCTGCGTCCGTTTCCTCAGCATAGAAGGCATACACGCCAAATGCACTGGTGCCCAAGGCGCAGCCCACACACGAGACAATCAGGAGTATTTTGCGGCCATGCCGATCCACCAGATAAATGGAGGCAAGAGTGCCCACAATCTGCACTGCCCCAATGATAATCGTATTAGTGTTGGGCTCCAGCTGGGTGTGCACGCGCTCGAAGATGTTTGACATGTAGTTGATGAAGGCGAAGGTGCCAGTGAAAATGCTACCTGTCATTAATATAAGTCCCGTCACAATGGCCTTTATAGCACGCTTGTTGCCTGTCCATAAACAAAACGGTTATAAGAGGCTATAATCCCATCGAGCGAAGCTTACAGAAGTCAGACATGGATAAGCCCTCGTTGCCGCTCTCCTTGGCCTGCTGCTGCAAGGCATCACGCATTTCCTCAAACTGTTTCTGGTAAGCACGCTCCGACTCCTTGGTAGGCGTGGGACCATCGCAGTTACAGTAGTATTTTAAGGCGCGCTTCGCTTCCTCCTCTCGACCCCATCGCAGCAGCTGCTGAGGGCTCTCTGGAAGCCGTGCGGTCAGCAGGAGGTAGCAGAAGGGCAGGGCGATGACTACAAAGGGAATCACGTGGTAGGGCACATGGGAGGCTATGATGAAGCCCAGCAAAATGCCCATATTGAGGGCCAGGGTAAAGAAGGAGCACAGTCTGCCGCGAATGCTGCGAACGGTGTGTCAGAAGAAGTCACGATTGGCTGGCAGTGGGTTCACTCACCTCTGATCCGCGATCTCCCCGATGAAAATGGGCAGCACCACATACATGCCTCCGCCTGTTATGCCGGCACAGTATCTGGCCACATAAAGCATTTCAACGGAATTAGCAAAATAGAAGAGGAACCAAATGAGCTGAGGGATCAACACTCGACTTTAGCATGTTCAATTCGTAGGATTCAACTCGGGACTTGCTAAACTAACCGTGTTGGGCACAGCCAGGCCATAAATCGCCACCTTGCGTCCGAAGCAACTCATGATGTAGGCGAACAGGAAATTTCCCGTCACACCGCCCAAACAAACTATGGAGCCCACCCAGGAGCCCTCGTGCACGTCGACGACGAAGTCCAGCGGCGTCTTTGACTCTGACTGCAGCTTGGGCAGCATGGGGGAGAGCCAGCCCAATCCGATGCCATGGGAGAGTGTTATGACAATGACTGCGAACAAGCAACAGTTGGTTGATTACGTTCTTCGTTTGCATCCACCCCTCTCCCAGTCTACCCTGGCCATCCATCAGGCCACCATATGCCCGAATGGCGCTCTAAGCACTAACTTGACGTATTGTACCTCCATAAAAAGGTGAGTAGATGCTGCTCCGTATCTCTTTTTATGCTTGTTTTAAAAGCATTAAAAATTAAATTTATTTATGTAGCTTTTTATCTTTATTATCGCTAGCTCACGAAAAAACTTTGAGTTTGTATTTATAGGAATTAAAAAGTCGAAAAATGCTAATACTAAGAAAGTCTACAAATTTTCCGATATAACAAAAATCTGTAAATAATTTCAGCAACCAATTATTTCTTGTTTGTTTTTTTATCAGTGAAAATTCCATTTTTCAGACCTCTCTTGAATACTTGATATAAAATAATTTATATTTCCTTCTCATATATATTACTATCACATGTCCGGAGCATTTGAGAAAACGTACCACTTAAAGTGACCTGAAGTTGGCGACGAAATTCCTGCTTAAATATTCCCGAGCTGAACATTTTTAAAAACATTATGGTGTATGTGCCGATTACTTTATTTTTATAATTTTATGCAAAATAATTAAATAGTTATTATAATCGTTTTTAGCTTTTTGACTCAGTTTTCGTTTCCAATAGTTGCTTATTTAATCGTTGCGTAGAAATTAAATTCCTCCGATATGGTTTTTCCATGCTAGTTAATGAAATTTCGGATAGCGAGTTAAGATCGCGCCTGCTCTGTACGAGAAACACTTGAAAAAGACGAGTCGTAGTCCCCCTTATATACAAGCGGCGGATATTGCGATATCTCTAGACATGTTCCAATCTAAATCTCTGTTCAAATACGAATTCGCAGCTGGGAGAGTGACATGTGTCCGGCTTGTGGCCCCCGTCTGACGGCCAGGGAGCGGTGGCGCCTCAAGCTCTCGGTAATCTTTATAGACGGGTAAATCATCAGCGTGCAATGAAGTTATCTCACTCTGCAACAAACTCATGCCGTTTGCCACCGGCTTGCGAAACATCTGAAATATTTCCTATTTCAATTGTCTGCTTGAACCAATTACAGGTATAAGAGCAGTCAAACATTATTGGATTAGCGCCAAATTAAATGAACTGGCAGTGAATAAATTAGAGTATACCGAAAACCATTAATCTGCCTCTTAATTAATTTCACTGAGCGCAGTCAATTTAGTGAAACAAAAAATATAATTAGAACTGAGTCTCGAATTGAGAAGCTTATTCGATGTGATGAAGCTTATTTGATGTGTTTCTTCCAAGTCATTCCTCTAAGTGCATTTAAGGATTTCCTCGCCTGGGCGACTGAAGAAATGCTGTAGCTACTCCCCTTTATATAGGGCGACTTTCACTCAAAGCCAAGGTCGCGCTCTAATGTTGCAGCCCAGCTTTGAGTGACCAATGGGAACACTCTGCTGCTGCCAGTATTCTGGCTTCGTTTTACTGAAATATAAATGCCAAACAAATACTGCTGCATATATATGAGAACAAAAACAAAATGTATACAATCTCTTGAAAACATTTGTTTTAATAACCATAGACTTTAGAAAGAGTAAATTCTACTCGAGCATCTGTGATTCTAAGGCGTTTCTATTATTTACATTCGTATGTATGTATGTATACATGCAATGGATGCTGGTGACAACAGAAATGTAAGCGGTGGCGTTAACAGTGCCAGGGCTACCGTAACAGTCATTCCAGCAGAGTTGCTGTTAGGCTAACAGCTAGCACAAGTTCTAGTAAAAGCGCGAAGTGCATCAAAAACAAAATGTAAGCGATTTGTTGATAAAACATCTTTTATAAAACCGTATACAGAATAACTCCGTGTCGGGCAAGGGATCCGGAATCTAGAGTATTGCTGCTTCGCTCTCCCTTGTTTTGCTAAATGAATTACTTAATTAGATATCCCCATATTAATAGTTCATGGATTTGCCTTTTGTCTCCTCGACAAAGACCACCGCATAGAAGAGGCACAACGTGCTGACCGCTGAACAGCCCCACATGGTGGCCGCCAGTCCCAGGAACTCCATCATTAGGGGGAAACTTTTGAGCGCCACAAACGAAAAGCAGCTAAGGCAGGCCAGGCACGCGCTAGTGGCAACAGCGCGAATCTTCTGTGGGAGGACCTCCACCAGCACCACCATAGCAACAGAGATGATGCCCACATTGGCCAGGAATATGGTGAAGGCCATTATCGTGACGGGCAGCCAGGCGGAGAATGCGCTTAAGTCCGCGTCCGTCTCCTCTCCATAGAAGGCGTAAAGGCCAAATGCACCCGTGCCCAGTGCACTGCCCACGCACGAGATAATTAGAAGTATCTTGCGTCCGTAACGATCCACTAGATAGATGGAAGCCAGCGTGCCAACAATCTGCACTGCTCCAATGATAATCGTATTAGTGTTGGGATCCAGCTGCGTGTGCACCCGCTCGAAGATGCTAGACATGTAGTTGATGAAGGAGAATGTGCCGGTGAATATGTAGCATATCATTAAAGTAACTCCAGTGACAATGGCCTTCAGTGCGCGCTTGTTGCCTGTGCGGTAAGCGTAAGGGACTATAAAATGAAAATCATTGATTCAGCCTTAAATTGATGCTTACAGAAGTCAGCCATGCTTAGGCCCACAGTGGAGCTGCTCTTGGCTTGCTGCTGAAGGCTCTCGCGCAGTTCTTCGAATTGCTTATGATAGGCGTAAAGTGAGTCCCGAGTGGGCGACGGCCCATCGCAGTTGCAGTAGAACTTCAAAGAGCGCTTTGCATCCTCCTCTCGACCCCATCGCAGCAGCTGCTGCGGGGTCTCCGGATATCGTGTGGCTAACAAGAGATAGCTAAGAGGGAGGGCCACTACGGCGCATGGAATCACATGGTAGGGCACATGCGAAGATATAATGAAGCCCAGCAATATGCCTAGATTGATGGCCAAGTTGAAGAAGGAGCACAGTCGGCCGCGAATGCTGCGAAATTGGATGTCACTCAAAGTGTCACAGGCCGGCCAAAGATTCATTCAATTCATTCCCAATTCACTCACCTCCTGTCTGCGATTTCGCCAATGAAAATGGGCAGCACCAGGGACATGCCACCGCCCGTTAAGCCAGCGCAAACCCTGGCCACGTAGAGCATTTCAATGGATTCCGCGAAATAGAACAAAAACCAAATACACTGCGGCATTCGCATGTGATTTAACAACATTAGCTTTGTGGCGCAGTCCATTGACTAATTAACTAACCGTGTTCGGCAGGGCGAGGCCGTAGAGCGCTACTTTCCGTCCAAACCGGTTCATTATGCAGGAGAAGAGAAAATTGCCCGTGAGAGCACCCAAACTGAGCATGGCGCCCAGCCAAGAGGACTCGTGCACATCAATCACAAAGTCAACGGGCGTCTCCACCGACGACTGCAGCTGCGGCAGCATCGGAGACAGCCAGCCCAATCCGATGCCATGACAGAGTGTTATAAGTATTGCTGTGTGGGTAATTGATGGTCAATGCGTTTAGTAAACCTGAAGTTGGTGCTGATTCCCCTGCTAAACCACTAATCAATCGAGCATCGGCTTTCATTGAAATTCTGTGGTAAGTCAAGTTCGTATTGAGTGTTATATCAGCAGGATGCGGAAAAGTAAAATTCACAATGAAAACCAATTAAAATCGTTGTCTCTCCCACTCTCTCTCACCCTCAGTCTGTTGATGATGTTCTAACGCTTTGAAAGCGGATTGGAAATATTTCCATTTATTTCTTGCCGATTGTGCTCATTGAATACCTTCCCAAATGAATTAAATCATGTTACATGCATTATGCAGACAATGGCACGTGAATAATACTCTCATTATAGAGTATTTCAGTTTGCAGAGATATTCATAATTCATATATAGCACAGTCACTCAACTTTCGCTCTTGCAATTCTCTTTTCATCTTTTGACAGATAGAACAGCTCTTTAGTCACGATAAACATACCACTCAATGTAACCAGCAGCTGGCGACGAAATTCTTTCTTAAACATGCCCGATCTGAACATCTCGGACAGCATTCTATTAGATTTTTGTATTTTATCCGTTGCTAAAATGGATTTTCTCCTGATATGGGCTTCTCATGCTATTCACATGAAGTTCTTTTGGGAACGCGCTTGTATCTCTGTCTGAGTTTTACTCTCGAATAACTTGTATAATTCGTATTTCGGCCGCACTTTTATCTGCAGCGTAAAATGCGATATCTCAAGACGTATCTAATATTAAGTCTTTGCGCAAATAAATTAAAGAATATGTGCTCAAAGCTCTGGCACCTCCGGCTCTCTCATAGTCTTCAGAAATGAATATATCATAATTGTGCTTCTCAACCTGCTCACCGTACAGACGAAGCTCTTATAAAGTTTTGTCTCTTCTCGAGCCATAAAATAAGTTTGCCCGAGCAATTGAAAAAAAACCTGACCTACAACAAAATGGGAAATGTTATTAAATAGCAAAAACTTGCGCAAACTCTACAATTCAAAAAAAAAAAAAAAAAAAAAAAAAAAAAGTTTTTACAACGTGTTGAATTTGTTCTATTCTGAGTTCTAGTTCGTTTTTATATAGTGTCAGTGCAATGCAGTTGGGGTCGGCCATAGATATACCTAGTTGGCTAGAGACTCCAGCCATTGAGTCAAGCAAGTTGGAGTATCGTGCGTCCGGGACAACGGTTCAATCTCTTCTGTTATTGGCATCAATACGTTTGACCCGATCGCTTCATGCCATTCATATTTGAATGCAACTAATCGAAATTCCTCTTTCGCAGACTCAAATTGTGCTTTTTCATGACCTCGCTCAAAACTGTTGATTGCGTATCGCTCATGCCGCATGCGAGGGGGAGGAGTGGGAGGAGACATGCGTAAACGAAAGCGTAAACCCGTCCAAAGGCAAACTTCGATGACGTCTTCTGTCATAATCTGACATTGATGTGGCAACAACTGCAGCTCGCTCGCACCGCCTACCGCCCGATAAGGAGCACAGCCCAAAGCTTCAACTTGCCAAATCAATGAAATCGATTTAGGAACTTTTTGTCTAGCATGCCTGCTCTGGTTGGCAGTGCTCGACTAGAAGATGCTCTTTCCCCTTAGTTCAGCGGATAGTTAAGGGCATATGAGCAGCTTCCTTCAGCATTATTTATCTACATGCCATATTTCAGCATATCAGTGCAACCGATTTCAATGGGTATTTCTGTTTCTACCACCGAAATGCATCATACAAATTCAATTGGATTTACTTCAAATGTCTTTGGCTTCCACGATTACATTTTTTATTTGCGCCCGCCCGGGAGTGCCGTTTATTGATGACTGTGAATCCCAGCAAATCGCTTAGACAAATAAATACAATACTCCCCTAAATGTACATATATGTAGTAAAATTTTTATTGAGTTCCAGTATTTCTTTGAAATTTTAATCATCCGATAATATTTAATACAAATTTGGAAGAGTGCTCAAGTTTTTCAACCACCATGATTTGGATTCTTCGCAGTAATAAATATTATCAATGTTAAATATATACACATATGTATATATAATAACAGTGATTCTATTGTCTGATCATGGGGGATATTTCTCTTCAGAGTTGCCATCAAAGTACAAACTTATACCCTTCTTTTTGATCTCTTATCTATGACATCTCACTTAATTTACTATCTTATCTAGTATTTCTTATCTCTTACTACTCTTCTACTACTCTCACTCTACTCTGTACTCTACTATCTTGAAATGAATTATTTTCTGGTAGAGTATTAGCATTTCGAATTGTTGGCATAGTTTACGCAGTGTACCCTTTGCACGAAGAGACAGAACAAATGATTTTATTTTAAACTCTTATCGCCCTTTAGCAGCGCATTCGACGTCGCAAATTTTATGATATGTATTGAATTCTGTTTTAGTGATAAGTTTTGTGTGTGTATATATATGTATATGTGTATATATATATAGATATTTTTTACGTTTAATCGTTATCGTGGCCGCATTCGATGCCTTTTGATAAGTAATTCGTATTCTATTTTATGCCAAGTTGAACAGAAATTTGTTATTGACTTTGTGTTTGTTGTTGATTTTGTTGTCTTTTGGATTTTTGTAGAGTAGACTAGAAGTAAACAACATAAAAATCGAAAAGCAACAATAACAAACTAACAAAACGCAGAGACTACAGATGTGCACAATCGTGTGGCGTGTTGCGCTGCCATTTGATTTATTCTAGTTACGCACGTTGGCCATTTACGTATGTTTCCTCACCATTTTGGCCATTTCGAGCAACTAAATGCGCCCAGCATTTAATTGAGTGGGCATTTAGCCTCTCTCTCTCTCTCTCTCTCTCTCTCTTTCTGTGAGTGTGTGTGTGTGAGGGCTTTGTCACGCGACTGGAAATTAACCTGTTGGACACACAGACACAGACACGCTTCATGGCTGGCGATAAGGCTCTCCGGGTATGACATGTATTAATAAGCGAATAATTTGGCGTTGTTCTGTGCCCAACGCTTGGACTATCGAACTTTAAACCTACGTTGCGGGAACCACTTTTATAAGAATAGCATTCGAAATGCACCTACTCCATAGCTACATTGAAGGCTGACGTTGCGTATGCGCTATTCGATAATTGCGTATACGCAATGTACATATTGACAGCCATACAATATATACACTTGCCATTCGAAACGGAAATATATGCGCGCAGCAGTCAATTGAGGAGCCGCTCTTAGTCCACGTGAGCTGATACAAGTAAATGCAAATATGTTCAAGTGGAGCATCTTATTCAATTTACTCTATGCTATGCTGGTGATGATTTGACTAGTCACTAGTCGCACCATAACAGCATCATGCATTTAATTGCAATGCCAACTCCCTATTTCAAGGATTCGGAGTATATGTAGATGTTGATTGATACTAATGGTGATTATGATTATGAGCCAGTTGGGCATACCCTGCCAGTATGCTTGTATTCAAGTTACAACGGTGAACGCACGAATGTTTGCTATCCACCTCAGATGAAATGAGTAAATGATGATGATAGGAATTAGAAGAGAATCATAGCACGGTTTATCATAATCAGAGATTTAGTATATAGCAAAGTCTATTACCGCTGATTGTTGGTGATAATGCTGATTATGAGGATTGTGTTCTAGTCGAGCATACCCTGCCCTACTTTTGCTTTGTACCACAATCGAAAGTCTAATTGGATTCGTCTGTTGCATTAAAATGTTGCCACAGTAGACACGATTGTTCAAAACTGCGTATGCGAGATGCACTTTATATTTCGAATTTAAATGTAAACTAAAGAAAATTGCATTAAAGAAACTGGGGATATTTTTGTATTTTAATCTGAGTTGGAATGCACAGAAAGTTATGCACAACTCAATTTAAGTCAACACATCGGAGTCAATAAAACTCAGAATAAATTAATTAAAAATTATCGAAATACAGTCTGCACTTAATAAAATCGATAAATATAAACTATTTTCCAGCACGAAGAACATGGCCTTTTGACAGAACGCTTCTGCTGCCGAAGCCTGTGTATGAGCTTTGGAAAATTATTTTTCATTCAGTTTTACATTTTTGATATAATTATAATAGAGATAAATCGGTTTGTGTTCATCCAACGAACACGTAAATATTCTATTTTTATACCCTGAACCCATTGAAAATGGGAAATCAGGGTATAATGGTTTTGTGAAAAGTATGTAACAGGCAGAAGGAATCATCTCAGACCCCATAAAGTATATATATTCTTGATCAGGACGACGAGCTGAGTCGATATAGCCCTGTCCGTCTGTCCGTCCGTCCGTCCGTCCGTCCGTATGAGCAAAAGGATCTCAGAAGATATAAGAGCTAGAGAGCTGAAATTTGGCATGCATACTCGTGTATACCATAGGCAGTACAAGTTTGCTTTATTTTTTCGATAACTTGTCCGATAACTTTTTTATCGAGAATAATCGAAAAATCGACATTGTTTTTTCAACTTAATTTGAACACTTTTAGACCTGGAGACTTCAAATTTGCGTTGTATATAAAGTTAATAGATACAAAGATTTTGTAATTTACAGATTTTGGATACCACGCCCCCTTCGCCCCCAATTTGTAAAAAATGCATTTCAAGTACTAGAGACTTGTGCTTTGGAATGTACACACATTTTAGCCATATGATTACGCTCTAAAAGTTTCATTAGGATCGTATGTCTACAAAAGAAATTATTCAACAAATAAATTCTCATAATATGGCCCACACTGCAGTGCAGCCCAAGCGCAACCGCTGCTAGCTGCGCAGTTTGCAGAGCGCGTGCTTATAAGTGCATGTGTATGTATGTGTGCATAAAAGAAGTCCAGAATGATTAGAATATCAGTTTGGAGGGTTCAGGGTATCTCCTAGTCGAGCAGTCTCGACTGGAGCCTTCTTACTTGTTTTATCCTCGATTTTGGTTTTCATTTATATAGCTATTTGTTTATATGGCTCGACAGATATGGGGCGTGGTGGGCTTGCATGAAAATTATGTGCGGTGTGCTTTGACTAAATAGGAAGGAAGAACATTTTTCCTACAAATGCCACTGTGGGAGGCATTTTGCCTCTACTCAGAAGAATAATAAATACCCCCTAAATGGACGAATGTATATATAGAAAAGCTATGTAAAAGTGTTTTCTTACGTTTTCTTCAAAAAAAGTGAGCGATATTTATCAGTTCTAGCGCGTGTTTATTTAGATTAAATGTATCTGTGTGTGTGAGTGTGTGAGGGAATGCGCATGTGTTGAGTTGTAAATAAATGATTATTGCCAACGCTTAATATTAATATATAATATGCTTTTAAGCAGCTCTCCACACATACACACACATGCACACACACATTCACAAAGCCAGAGACATAGACAGACTTTAGTTGTATTTAAGGTAGCTGCCAAAAGCGATAATTAATCGAACACACACACACACATGTAAAAAAATGGCGTCGCGTTGCTTATCACTCGAAGTACTCATTGCTTAATTTGTCCACACAAAAAGAACTAAACAGAGCAACAAAAACAAATCGAATCAAATATAAAGAATATGATGAGCGCGCACAGTAGTCGGAGTGCGCCGTAGAGATATTAATAATAGTAGCTTGAGGGGGGGGGTGTGTGTGTGCAGGGGCCGACCCGAGTGGGATAGAGAGAGGGAACGGGGGTTGAGTCGGGAAGCGATGTGCGGCCACAGTTCAAAGGTGCGTCCAGGCACGCACTGTCCACAAAGAAAATGCCAATCAGTTGTACCTGGGCACAGAAACGCCAATCAAATCAAAACCAACTTCAGCAACCCACACACACGCACACACACACACTTGCATATAGTCACATTGAGTCGTTTGACTCGAGTTCAGAGTCAAGTCAAAATTTATTGCGGGGTCGAAAGAAATTGAATCACAATTTCGAAGATTGATGAGAGACCTACGCGACCTGTTCAGTTCAGTTCAGTTGAGTTAAGTTCAGTTCGCAATGAGCGATC